TCCAGATGATCCGACTGAAAAATATTGGATTGTATACCTGGATTATTGAGCATGGACTTTGTTGTTTTCAACCAGTTTGACACGATTGTCAACAAGGAAGAGGGCCGGCAATGGAGACCATCTTATCACAAGCAAAACTGGTTTGTTCCACTTTGGAGTAAACTGTTGGGGGAAGAATAAGTTTTGTTGTGCGTTTCCTTGACTGATGAAGCCTTCTGGATCGAAGGCGAAACGTTTCAGCACAAAAAAAGAAACCGTCCAGATGACCTGACTGAAAAATGTTGTCTTCAATTTTAACAATTAATTTTAAGAAATGAGGTCAAGTTTTCCTCCAGTATTCCAAGCTTTTGGGAGCATAACAAGCCAACCCTAACTATAGGATTTATCAAAAAGGAAAGTCTTAAGCCCAGTCTTAAAACTGGACAATGTGTCAGCCGTAGGGACAGAAACTGGAAGTTGGTTCTACAAGAGATAACTGATAACTGAAAGATCTTCCATTCTGCTCTTGGAAACTCTAGGAACCGGAACAATAAGATCTCTAATGTAAGATGGAGCTAGGTTGTTGAGGGCTTTGTAGGCTAGAAGATTTTGAATTTGATTCTGAATTTGACAGGGAGCCAATGGAGAGGAGCTAAAACTGGACATATATGATCTCTCCCACTAACTCCAGTTAAGACTCTGGCAGCAGCATTTTGGATCAACTGAAGACTTTTAAATACCTTTTTTGAACACCCAGATAACAAACCATTGCAATAGTCCAGTCTAGATGTGATAAATGCATGAACCAGTTTTTCTGCATCACTTTTAGATAAGCTGTTTCTAATTTTAGCGATTTTACGCAGGTGGAAGTAGGCAGTTCTGGTAATGTTTTTAATGTGGGGGTTGAAAGACATGTCCTGATCAAAAATAACACTCAAGACTTTTAACATTAGAACTGGAGTTTTAACTACGCCATTGTCACAAACTGCTGAAAAGTAAAAGGTGAGCAATAATGTACTTTTTCTGCATCTGTTTATCAAAATGTCACATGACCCACTGGACGGATGTTAATGAAATCTTCAAGAAATGATGATTGGAGGCACTTTAAAGATGTTTTTAGAAAGTGATTAACTTTTAACTACATCTCCCTTAAAGAAATTGGTCCAGATGGAATGATTTGACCGTCTCTTGTTATCTACCTGGATGATTGAGCCTACAACCCCCCCTTCTTTTTACAACTGATTAACCTTTTGAGTCAATCTGATTTGAGATGGCTGCCACTGTTAATCAGTTTTCGCCAACACACAGTATAACTCACTCAGGTTTGTATATGTTGAGCTAAAATCTGCCGTGGTAGTAGCTGAGAATCATTCACAACACATGACATCTTGGGACACTGCACAAGATCGCACAAAATGCCAATTTCAATTTTGTCTTATTAGATGGATCCATAAAAGCTGCAAGATAAGATTAATTAAAAAAAGGTTAGAGCTAAAACTAAAATATGCTGAAATTCTTTCATGAGAGGAGTTTGAAGCTTTAAGACGTGGTGAAACTACTAGTCCTCCTCCTGAATGATCCATTAGTGTTGATAAGGACATGGCTTTACAGGCTGGGGTGTGTTCTTCCTTATTTTTGTTCTGCGAGTTCTGCTGCTGCTCTGTTCCCATGTGAACAAGGGGATCTCTGTCCTTTCTCAAGACGGCAACCAGCCACTTTTCTCAAAAGCCCCCAAGAGGCATCTTTGAAGCCATTGTGAAGAAAAATTAGTTGCAGCAAAGAATAAAAAAAAACCTGCTGGTTGTATGTGTGAACGCTCACTGCTAAAGTCATATGTTAGTGGTAACAGATGTGGAAGTTGGATTTAGCATTATTGACTGCCTCATAAGATGAAGGAACATTTCTGTGTTTTAGTTAGATTCTTCCAGTTTTATGTTTCGTACACATTTCTAAAGACTGAACAGTTTACGTCCATTTAGCCAAAGTTGTGATTGGTTGACGAGCTGTGTTGAAGAGAAGTTTGTCTCACCTGGAGGGTTCACAGAGGGAAACCCTGACACGCCCTGCAGGGCTTTGACCTGACTTGACCATAACAAGGCAACCCATTGACATAACTGGTGTGAAAACCACTTGCTTGCAGGTACTGTACATGTTCACTTCAAAGCGAATGCTCCTAAATTTATGTCATTATCTTAGAATTAAAGCAGTGGTACTGATTATTTGATTGCAAACTTAACAGCAAAATAACATTTTTAATGTCAAAATGTAGCTCATCAGCTCTTTGCTAAGCTTAGCTGGTTGGCTGACTGATTGTTGCGTACTGACTGAATGACTGCCTTTTGGAAAGGAAGGAAACTTCTTCCTTCCCTCAATTGTGCTGAGCAGTAAAGGATTGTCTCCGGCCAGCTGACAGCTGTTTCCTGGTGGATGGAGGAGGAATGGGTGCGTGGGTAGGGGTGTTGTGTGGGCAGTAACTTAACTTCAATGAGGATTTTTTTTTTTTTAAGTAAAACAGAATCCTGGTTGTGTTAGATGTTTAGCTGTATAAAGGGGGTGTAGGTTGCATGGTTTAAATCCATTCTCTGCAAAGAAAAAAAAACAACAATTTATAATGCTAAACATTTTCTGTCTTTACCTGGGAACCATTTATTAAAATTTTATCATTATATAGTTTTGAGACCTTGGTAAGAGCTGTGGTTCCACTACATTTCACAAAATTGATTTTTTTTTCATGACATTTTTTTGTTGTTGCTACATTCTGAACAACCCACTAAGCCTAATTTGAACTCTGTAATAGCAGAATGGAAAGCCACAGTGTTCTTCTACAAATATCAGTTTTAAGTATATGCTGCTAAATAGATTGAAACCATAATAAAAATGAAAGTTCCCATGTACATTTTTATTCTGGTGGTGGTTGCTGTGTTAGAGGCGTAGTAGATCTATGGAAGACTTGCTGGACGTCAGTCAATACAGTCGATAAAGAACAACCTATGCATGCTCACAACTATGGTATTTAGACTTGCTTGCCGCACAATACAGACGGGGGGTGGATGGGTGTTGTGGGTGAACGACAAATTTGGTAGGCGGAGCAATCGGTTCTATAGACAGGGCGGGGTGCCCTCTTTGGATAGTAGTAGGTATATATAGATAGATAGATAGATAGATAGATATATAGATAGATCTATCTATATGTATGGATGGATGGATGAAATGCCTATATCGCCTGGGCTCTAATTGACAGCAGTGGATAAGCAAAGGTTGTAAATGGCACTGAATACAGATCCGGGTTCATTTTATAAATGATAAACATAATGTTGTGAAATTAAAAAGGTTGAAGGCCTAACATTCCTTGAAGAAATGCATATCGCTCACAGCCTCTCATGCCAAAGTATTAAACTAAGGTCATCTTGTGTTGAAAAAAAGAAGTTATGAGAAATGTCACCTCTCTTTCACTGTTCAAAGCTAATCTTAAAACCCATCTCTTTAGCTCAGTCTATCCCTCTTAATTTCTTCAGATGCACTTTCTATTTTAATGTTTTTATTTTTATTTATTTATTATTTTTTAGGAATGATATCTGGTGTAAATTTCCAAATTTTTCCATCCAAGTTGGCTCACTGTGGCAACCCCACACAAATATTTTTAGGTTCACTTATGACATTTATGGTAATGGTGATGTATTTGAGACTATAAATATATCTGGAATTTGTGTGTCATGACTAACTGGACCAAGCCGGACTGAGTGGGTTGGTTTTGAAACGGTCTTTGTACTTAAAAAAAAAATAAATAAAAAAAAGGAAGCAATCTATGAAAACCAGTGATCTATTGACTCAACTCTTATTGTAACATATCTAACTTGTTCTTAGATGCCTCTGCTTTTCCTGCCTTACTTTTCTGGTTCTGATTCACCTCATCTATTCTCGTCTCTTTTTGTGGCCTAAAAGATCGTTTTTGCCATCACGTCACAAATTATTATGGCATCAACAGAAATTCAAGCTTTAGTGATCTTAAACCTAGTGTTATTTTATGTACAATATATTTAACTTTTTTGGTAGTTGTTTAATTATTTTCCCTTTATTCATGCAAATAACGCTCTGCTGCTAAATGTCTCACACATTCTGCCTGGATGTGTATTTTTACTTTGAGAAGCCATAATTACAAGCTACAGTAATCTATCTCTGAGCAGTCTTCTTTCATTGCTGGTTCGTTCGTTGGACCAGACAGAGACTTTCATTGTCATTTGTTTACCGTCTTGTTCTGCACAGTTTTGAATCATGTGACTTTGATGATCTTTACGCTTGAATTAATAGGTTTCATATCTTGGTAGACCATCTTTCTTCAGTGGCATCAAGGCTCTGACTTTGCTGACAAAAATGCTGCTGAATTCAAAGAACTTCCTCTCATTAGAAACTTTTTGTAGTTTTCTGATGCAATTAACTTGATTTGAAGAAGTTTGGCTGACATTAAAGACGGATTTCCTTCTTTATTTATTTATTTATTTTATTTTTTTTACAAAGTTGACCAAGCTTAGTCTTGATGAAATGTGTGTTGCTGTGGTCAAGGCACCACAGGAATATAGGACAACCCTCCCTTTAACCAAGAATTTACAGCTGTTTTCACTGCATGAAGTAATTCACTCCCTGTTGCTCTTCCATAGGGTGTGTCTCTTCTAGGATCTGCCCCACAACTTAAAGCTACCTTACTAAATGTATTCTCACACAAACCGAGAATGAAGTACTTACCTGGCATTTTTAAATTATCTAATATTTAATTATCATTCACCTACAAACTAAATTGTACCAATCTCATCTGGTCATGCAATGAACTCCTTTATATATATCAATATTTAATTATTGAAAAAGCTGAAGTAACATTACTGCCATCCACCTGAGCAAATGGCAAATATTATAATTTGGTACTTTTTAGAACTGATTAGCAGCAAAGCTGTTCTGATACTGCACAACTCATTCAGGAAAATTTAAATGTGGTGTTTAAATGTAGAGTGCGGTTCTGGATCTGTGGCGATGCCCTGCAAATCTGAGCAAGCACATAACCAAATGTTTGCCTTCAGACATTCTTGGTTACAAAAAGTGTTGTTTTTATTGCTTTTTATAACATGTCCCCGTTTTAAAGAGTATCTTAGTATAGCACAAGTTGAATTCAACGGTCTTGGGTTAAAGTTGATGGAAAAAAGTTTTTGTCTAATAAGAGAACAGGAATTTGGTGAAACAGAAAATGAAATTGTCAACAATAAAACTGCTAGGTTGCGCAACTTTCCCGTCTAGATGATTGTTCAAGCTCTGACTAACCTATATCTGTTTTGCTGGAAAAGTAGAGCCAAAATAAAGAGGATCCAACAAGACTCTTGGAATATAAAGAAAAACTAAAGTGCATCATATTCAATTCAACTCAGTTTATTTATATAGCACCAAGTCACAGCAGAAGTTATCTCAGGGGACTGAACAGAAACATTCACATACATAAAAAATTAGTTGGTAACATTATTTATCTAAGAAAGGAAGGAAGTCAGCAGAGTTTTATATTTCAAGCATATTTACCGGAACTGTATCAATCACTGAATATGTTTGAATCAAGTTGATGCTTTCAGTGGACTTATAAAAGGCTAATTTATTTGGATTTATCTGTCTGATGCTGATCTGTTTGTTGTTTCAGTTGCCATTCTTGTTCTGGTTTAAATTTTAATTTACTGTCAGCTTTTAAAAAATGTCTCATTGTCTTGTTCTAGTTTGTCCATCTGTGTATTTTTTTTTCCATCTTTCTGCTTTTATCTGTAACTCTGTTATGACCATTCGTCTCCATGGTGATGAGAAAGCAGCTGCAACAACAAAAAATAAAACTTTTAATATCTCTTTGTTCTCGCTTTCTTCTTTTGTTGTCAATCCCCCTTCTTGGTTCTCGCTCATCCCCCACTCTGTTGTCCCTTTCACTCAGGTGTCTCTCACCAGCCACCTTACGAGCCTACTTTCCTCTTTCACCACCACTGTCGAGGTAGCCATGGCGACCAGCGCCGTGCCAAGTGACAACCTGCCAACATACAAGCTGGTCGTGGTGGGGGATGGTGGCGTTGGGAAAAGTGCGCTAACCATCCAGTTTTTCCAGAAAATCTTTGTGCCGGACTATGACCCCACGATTGAGGACTCGTATCTGAAACACACTGAAATAGATGGACAATGGGCAATACTGGATGGTGAGTCTTTGGTAACGGAAAGATGAAGCATAAATATGACCACATTTAAAAACATGCTAACCACTTCAACTCTTTGATATCATGTATGTGGTCATAAGTGTGCAAAAACACGAGTAAACAAGTGAATAATGCAGCAGACCTTTGACCATAAGGATTGGGTAATAAGGGAGTGTGCAGTGATGTATTTTTGTTTCCACATCCACCCAGTGCTCGACACAGCCGGTCAAGAGGAGTTCAGCGCAATGAGGGAGCAGTACATGAGGACGGGAGATGGCTTCCTCATCGTCTTCTCCGTCACAGACAAGGCCAGCTTTGAACACGTTGACCGGTTCCATCAGCTCATACTACGGGTCAAAGACCGGTAAGATGCAATGAGTTGGAAAGATTTAGTATAAGTAAAATCCACTACCACCATAGATTACCATCTGGGTCCTCATCTTTCTAATAGAGACAGATGGGTGTTTGTGTGAGGTCTGAAGACTTGTATTCACAAAAACACATCTTGTTCCCAAACATAATTCCATAACATTTGGTAGCATAGTTTGACGTACATAATTACTATTTTAGCTCGCATACGATAATTCCCAAAAATATGTTAATTGAAAACTGAAAGATGGTTAAAAAAAAAAAAAACATAGAAAGCCTGGAGATTTTTAGATGAAGACGGTCAGCTGATTCAGTGTCAAACAATTCTGGGAAAAAGCATTCAATTTTGAAATGTCAGCAGCGACTAAATGAACAGTTTATGGTTATTTTTCTCTTCAGTAAAAGTGGGTTTGCCCACTTGTGTAATAAAACTTTATACAGTCTGTGTGATTAGAGGAAACTGGCCTGTAGGCAGTCAAGCATCAGGTCACACTTTATTTCTGTAGCACATTTCAATTGCAACCAAATGTGCTTTCTAACAAATGAGAAAAATTTTTCAAAGTGCATAAACCACACACTATATAAAGCACACACAAATGCTGTCTGCATAAAAATACTAATGCTAAATACAAAACAAAACTTTTATCTTTGCGGCTTCTCATATCTTAAGGCCATGTATTCCATTTTATTATAGCACAAAAACTGAAAGCAGCTTCTCTTGATTTGGACAAAGAATGAGGTATAATTGGGTTGCCACAGTTTGCAGACATGAGCTGTGGTAGCTCCAAGGTCAGTGTCGCAGTCTTGTAGTCTTGAGGTTGCAGGTTTGAATCCATATTGTGTGAGGAAGTCCAATCGGTGTAAAACAATTGCCAAATCTTCCATGGGAATTCGCTTGCTGTGGTGACCCCTGCAAAAGGGAGCATCCAAAAGAACAAGTTTTGCAGACGTAAGTGGTTTGACTGTAACTAGTTAGTATCTCTTAAATATTGAGTAATGAGTCGTTTAAAGCTTTCAAGTAATAAGACTGTACAATTAATTATTTCTAAAGGAAGGTCTTAAAACAGGTGTAATGTTCAAATTTTCCTGGTTCCTGAGAGGACGCATGCATTTTGAATCAATAGTCGGTTTAAGGTGCGATTTAGGAGGCCTATAAAAAGGTCGTTTTGAAGTCTAACCCAATCATGAATACATTAAATAATTTTTAAAGTCATGTTTTGAAACGGTCTTGACCTCCTCAGTGTTGCTCAAATGAGAAAAGTCCAGGTTTGTAATGTGATCGTCTATGTAAAGCGTATGGCTTTAAAATTTGAGTTCACTGTTCTTTACACTGTGGTTCGTGTTTCATTTTTGCACTTGAGCTGAGCAGTGCTGCAACTTTCTGGGCAGAGACTTTTTTTAGAAACCTGCTCTGTCAAAGCCTGTTTGGTTCAGAGCAGAAAGAATTGGTGCTGAGCAGTTGGGTGGTCCAGCTAATCTTAACCAGTGCACGGCTTAAATGAAATGCATTAAAGATGTTTGAAACCAGCAACCATTGCAGCAAAACTGTGTGTACACCAGTGTCTAAATATAGCACATCTAAGTTAACAAAAGAGGAACTGGCTCTTACAGGCAGGAGGCATTTACATTTTGGTAAAACTGAACATTTGTTTGCAGCTCGTATATTTTTTAACTAGGTTCTTGTAATTTAATTGCGTTAGTTGATTTTTTCTTTTTCTTTTTGAATGTATAGTACTGCATGAGAAACAATCATTTGGGATTCTGTCAACTTTGACATGTTCAGATCAAATCCTGCATTATTAGCTCTGGTCTGTTTGAGCTTTGCTGAGTCAGCAGATATTTTTTTTAGTTTCGGGGGTGAATTGTAGTTATGATCTTCCCTTTTTTGCGTAGCTGAAAACTGCACATGATTTCCAATATCGGTCTAAAACCAGTTGTAGGTTTTAGTTAAGAGAGCCTGTTGTGACATTCACTGAGAGGATGCTGAGATGTAATAAAAATAGCAGCTCAAACTAAGCCCACTGCTGTCTGTTCGTATTCGGTGTTGCTCACGTTGTAAACTGTTTTTTCACAAGATGAAAGTGTTGCAGAAATGTGACGCCTCCCGTATAAATTCAGCAACACGGAATGCTCTTTATGACTTAGTCCTGTTATGCAAGCGCCTTTAACAACGGAGACATTTGATGTTTTTTGATTCCCCATGTTAAACATTTGGAAGCATATCCTGATGCATGCTCAATAAGGATGGAGAGGAACGATGGTTTGAGAGAGGAGTAAAGGAGGCCATCTTTGTGAAGTGAAATTGTCCATCATTAAACAGGGGTGGAGGCCTCCGGGTTCAACTGTCCCCCTCTTACAATGCTGTTATTGCTAGTATCACTCAGCCCTCTGTGAATAGTAAACAGCCATCAGTGTGCTAATGATCCATTGTTAGGCTGATGGTCCTTCTTGACCATGTGATCAGCTGGTTTTGGTTGTCAGCAACAAACTGGTTGATCCACTCTGAGAAGGTGCTATTTAAGAGACTGAGCTGAATACAGCACCTCAGACTGAGGAAGTCTCTTGGATGAGAGACGAAACGTTTCTACATTTTTTTTTTTGTTTTTGTTTTTGTTTTTTTGAATGTCCAGAGGACCAGATTTAACTTTTTTAGATTTGGAAGCATACTATATAAACCATTTAAACTAAATGAACAGTTCAGTGTTTTTTTTTTTTGTTTTTTTTTTTAAATGGTGAAAACCATTACCTGCAGTGTGCAAGAACCTCTATTTATTCAAAGGGCATCATATTTTCTGCTCCCAGGGAGGCCTTCCCCATGGTTCTGGTTGCAAACAAAGTGGACTTGGTTCATCTGAGAAAGGTGACAACAGACCAGGGCCAAGAGATGGCTGCTAAACATAATGTAAGTAATGTGCTTTTCCTGCATTACCTTTCCCAGACGCATTATTGACCATGCAAACCTGTTTTCCGTTAACTACCCCCCCCCCCCACACACACACACGGTAAAAGTTAATGTTAATATTTAACTTGGACAATCAAGGTTACAGGACATGACAGTTTCATCTGAATATAATAAACCTCAATGTATGTAGCAATAGATCATATCTTTTTTTATTTTTTTATTTTGTAGTTGCATTATGAGGTTTAACTGACAGTGGTAAGTTTTAGATTTTTAGTGCTGTTAATGGGGATTGAAGCGTCAGCTGATGATGCAGGTGTTCACATGGAGGATTAGTCTGAAACAAGTAATGACGAGCACAAACCACCTGTGACTACTCGTATCTAAACCCCTAATTAGTCTGTTTTAATTATTAACCCACGGAGAACACCAGCCTTGTCCATTAGATATTCTTTTACTCAGTCAGTATTTAAATGTGGAAAGTGTTTTTGTATTAACATTCTCTATAGCTCTGTAAAACTCTTATTTTACTTTTGATGACTGTGCATTCCTTGCCTATACATATAAATTCAGTCTGTTGTAATCAGACCCTGAATGCAACCTCTTAATGCAAGTTCTGAGTGCGATTTGAGTTGTGCTTGAACATTTCATAACCTTTTTATGAACATAATTTTCTTGTCAATATAAAATACAATTTAAAATCGCTGTTGTAAAGTGTTGCGCATAAAACGCGACAGAAGTAGAAAATATATGGTACAAAAATAGTTGAACAATAAATCAATTATACTCTCATATGAAATGAAAAACCAAATGGAGGTTTAAAAAAAATGAGACAAGCGTTTAAGCCTTTTTTAATGTAAAGAGACAATTGGTTTCACCTAAATAGAAATGCATTAGAAAGGCCACTGATGGAACTAGATGAGATTTGTGGCTGCCATCTTGCTAGGAGGTATGTGTATCAGTGTTCTTTGCTTCTCAGCCATCCAGGTCAAAGCAAATCACAAATAAATCCCAACTTGTAATTTGTAGTTTAAGATGTTTGGCTTCTCATCCAAGGAGTTTTCTCAAATCAAACCTGGAGTTTGAGGACTTTCAAGCTTAAATTGTGGAACTCTTCCTTGTTTAGTTTTGCATTGAGAAAATTCCCTGGATAAGCGAGACGTGTTAAACTAAAGAATAAAAGTCAGTCTTTTAATTTCTTAAATATTAATATTTTGGGATCAGTGTACTGTTAACATGTTGAGCTGCTTGTATTGTCATCTGTTCCAAAATGCCTGAGAGCAAACGATCATTAAACCGAAGTCTCATCTCCATTGACCTTAGGTTAATGTCAGTAATAAAATATTCAAATCTTGAATAAAAAATGGAGCCAATGAGGCAACAAAAGAGCAGCTGTGCCCTTAAAGATGAGCATGAGATGAGTGATTAAGTTTTATTATCCTCAATGCATACTTCCAACATACGCATCTTTAAAACGACAATTAAAGTGTTCATATTCCTTTTGCACACTTTTTTAGCATCAGAAACGATTTATTGATCCGTCCTGTTTTTGAATGATGCATTCAATACATTCCAACTCCAGGCAGGAAAAGTGGAACTTTGTGTTTTATGATTATTCTAATTCTTTAAATTGTCATATTGATGTTGGGGATGTTTATCATCTTTCCTTAGATAACTTATATTGAAACCAGTGCCAAGGATCCCCCTATGAATGTGGACAAAGCCTTTCACGAGTTGGTCCGAGTTATACGGTAACCTCAAGCCTTTAACATATTTATTTATTTTTAAGCAAAGTTCATGACACAAATTAGGACAAGACAACATAAAATCTGTTATTTTTAGGACACTGATGCCAAAATAAAACTAGACAGATTTCTCTTTAACCTTTTTCAGGGCATTTGATTTCTCCAGATGTTGGTGGTGCTGAGAAAATGTTTCACAGGAATATGATTTATGCACATTTCTTTGTGGTCATGTGATCTGTTTAGATGTTTTTTGTAGGATTGATTAAAGAGGGTTATATTGTTGAGGAATAACTCACGTCAATCCTGATCCAGATAAGTGGAGCATTTGAGGGGAGGAAACCTCAGACTCATGAGAACACTTGTTTGTAAACTTCGCCCTCTTGTGGTCGGACTGTTGTTTCAGTCATTACTGGTTGGGACACAAACTTTTATTTACTCTAGGCCTTTTGCGATAAACAATAAATCAGTTAATCGCATGATAAATGAAAATTATCAACCTCATTTTCATTTATCGGCCATTGTCGTTTCCTCGTGTTTCTCTTTCTACTGAAGACACTGGATGACAAAAGGCTCAACTCTGGTGCTCTTCACTGACCCCTCCCTTTCTCTTTTCGCTTTAAAGTCTGTTTTAACATCCAAAATCACGTTTTTGGATGTTAAAAGCAGCTAAGCTGAGAAGCTATGCTACGAGCTAAGCTAACAGGCCAACCTTTTCTTAGCAAAAAGAGCTGAGAACTTGTTTACGGATTTCCATCCATTATCTTTTACCCGCTTATTCCATTTTGGGTCACGGGGGTCGCTGGTGCCCATGTCCAGCAATCATTGTGCGAGGGGCGGGGTACACCCTGGACAGGTCGCAAGTCCATCACAGGGACACATAGAGACAAACGAGACAACCATTCATTCTCTCATTCACACCTAGGGACAATTTAGAGTTACCAATCAGCCTAACATGCATGTTTTTGGTCTGTGGGAGGAAACCGGAACACCCGGAGAAAACCCACGCATGCACGGATAGAACATGCAAACTCCACCCAGAAAGGCCCCTGGACCGGGGTTTGAACCGGGGACCTGCTCGCTGAGAGGCAGCAGCTCTACCAGTTGCGCCACAGTGCTTCTTGTTTACGGATTTATTTTTATTTACTTTTTTTATTAAAAGCTTTATGTGAAAAATGCTATGCTAAAGAGCTCAAACCACACAGATTGTCTGCCATTTTTAGAACCGGCAAAATGGAAAGGGAGACAGCCCATGTCACGTCAAGGGGCCTCCCTCCCATTTTTCTTAGACACGCTGCTCTCTACCTCACTATCCATCCTTTGGTTCAAACAGGCTTATACTACCATCCAGTGGTCAAAAATCTGTACTACAGTCAAATTAAATTAACCAACATTTCTTCTTAAATTTGACAATTACTAATTGTCAAATTTCAAACAATATTATCGTTTATCACAATAATTTCTGAGACAATTAAACGCCCAGCAAAATTTATCGTGACAGGCCTAATTTACTCTACTGAAGATTATTTTATAGAAAATGACTAGAATGTGACTCATGAATGCTTGAGTATGATTTTTAGGAGAAATCTAAAAAATTTAGACATATTTAACACAAAGAATCCACCAAATAGAGCAAATAACGGATTACACATTCATTTGTTCACTTTTTTTAATTGTGTTGTAGCTCCTGACTTATCCCCCCGCCCCTTTTTTAAAAAAATAATCTAGAGGATTTAAAAAAAAACTAAAATTAGATTTTATAAATGTCAAAAGGGGGGAAAAACACAATCGGAAGTAATTAAATATTCAGTTAATAGTTTTACCTCAAGGGAAATGGATTTTATTTTATTTTTTACTTCTACTTGCAAATCTCTTTAGTTTTAATTCTGACAGAAGAAGTGATCCTCACTTCATTGTAACCAGACAAACATGAATTGGCTGTTTTTCCAAAACTAAAAAACAAACCTTTTCTTCAGAACAATATTTGATTTTAAAATGATTCTTTTAATTTGGTGTTTGATGAAAGATCTGGTTTGGTCTAAGTGGCTCTAACGGCTCTTCCCTTTTTCTCCACCTGCAGACAACAAATTCCTGAGCGAAACCTGAAAAAGAAAAAGAAGATGAAATGGAGGGCGGAGCGTTCCACGGGCTCCCGCAGGTTCCACTGCGCCATATTGTGACCTCGCGTGTTCTTCGTTTCTTACATAAAGACACAAACCAAAATGCACAGGAACATACCTTTTGGATGTCAGAACGTCCCAGTGATGTTTACCTTCTGGAGCACAAAAAGGACATTGGGGGGGGGGGGGGGGGGGTTGTCACTGAACATCTTCATGCATCCAAAGCAGCAGAAGATGGTTTGAAGCGTCACCCCCGCTCATCAACCTCTAATAATAAGCGCTGTTCTCTTCTCTGAAACTTTTCCCTGCCCTCCATTTTCCAAAGCTTAACAGTTTTACAAAGTCTAACATCAATATTTAATATTAAACGTGGCGTGAGTGCAATGCTTTGAGGGGGAAATGAGATGAGAAGGTTGTCTCGAGAAAGAAAAAAAAAAAGGGGGGGGGGGGTTGCTGTTGTGAGGTTGCTCCTCATATTTTAGAGAAAACATCCTGCTTCGATCTGCTCACCCACTGCTTTTGGAAGAAGAGCCCCAGTTATCCCTGGAGTGGTTTTTTTGAGCTCTCCAGTTAGCATGAGCATCAGATGGGTAAAATGGTTACATATGAGTGGTGGTGGGTGGGGTTGGGTGGTGTGATGTCGAAGGGCAGCTGGTGAGTGATGGGAGCACCTCAGGCTCGTGTTCTGGTTTAAGAAGGTTTGTTGGAGAAGAGTTGAAACGGGTACAAGAAATGTGATGTGAAATGTGTCGTGTCAGCTGTGGAGTTCATGTTTTTATATTTCCAGTAATGAAGAAAACACTGATGTTGAGTTGAGGGCCAAGTTTACAAAAAAAAAAAAATATCAAGAGCCACATTGTTTTCCTTATTAAGTATTTGAAAGTGATTATTGTGGGTTTGGTTGCCTCTAGTGATTGTCAGTGGTGTGATGAATTGGTCAAAACTCCTTTTTATTCTGATCAAACTCAACTGTTTTTCATTTTTCCATTCGTTTGCATCTTAAACAGGAAAATTATACATAGTGGTGTTCTAAAACATGTTGATGTGCTGTACAGAACCTCATTAGAACTTTATTAAATGAGCTGAAGCAGGATGGAGACGCTGATATCCACTGACCACGAACCAAAACGATGTGATGTCACTTTTCTCAATCCAGGGGCTTTTCCTTCCACCGACTTCAGGATTATAGAATAAACCCTGCAGCGCTGAGCTCACGTTACGTGTGCAGTGGGACGCCCTCAGGCTTGAAGCCGTGCGCTTCAATCGTTGCATCACGTTCAGCACACACATTATTATCCTTGTTAAAATGGCGCGTACTGTTATCTGAAAGTTTTGGTGGGCGACTTTATCCTGTCTGGAAGCGCACAAACTCTTGGAACACATTTTTGCACTTTTAATACAATCGCTGACTTTTCCTATTGGCATGTTTTTTTGTTTTCAATATCTTTATTGGCAGAAAGGCATGGTAAATCTGAGCTGGATGTAAAACCAGAAGCGAACAAACGGCTGCTCCGAGTTGTAGCCTCGTGTGCCTGCGTATGCCTGTTGCCTTGGCGATGATTGTAAGACGAATAATCATTAAACTGGTATTTGAAGAAAATCTGTTACTTTTAAATATGGATGTTTGTGTATGAAATATTTTATTGAATGGAATATAAATGTATCTACAGCAAGTGGAAGCTCAGCGGCAGAAACTACAATATTAAACCACATCTGCTGTAAAAACTGTTTTTCCACAGAACTCAACTTTGATTGTTGAGCAAATGGACTGAATGGTAAAAAAGAAACGAACAAAAAAATGTTGATTTAAAATATTGCATCATGTGCATTTGATACCATTTTGTATTATTGATTTGATTCTTGCAAAGTGTGTCTAAGCAACTGAATAATTTATTACTGTCTGTTACCTCGTTGTGTCCCAGACCTAGACAAAAAAAGACAAAAAAAATCCCTATTTTTATTTTCATATTATTTTTGAGTTCATTCTTGGTGGATTCTCCCTTTTGATGAGTAACTGTACTGTATATTTGTGGACCAAGATGGAGGGGGACAAAAAAATTGGTCTGAAGCACAAGGGTCAAAACAGGACAAATAAATAAAACTTCTTATTGGTGATGATTCTAAACTAAGCTCTGTGTTTTTGAGTGTGCCTAATTTAAAGAAGTTTTACAGTGAACTGGCTCCTGAACCAGGTGTTTAAGAGAAAAATGTGCACACAAATTTGTTGGTACCCCTCCACAAAAATAAACTCAACATTTAATTATAGCCCTTTAAGCCGAGGCTTAATTTGTAAAGCAATCGATGCCATAACGCAAATACTGGGCGGGGTTTACGAAACGAAACGTTTCTACATTTTTTGTTGATTTGCTTTGTTTTTTGTTTTTTTTGAATGTCCAGAGGACCAGATTTAACTTTTTTAGATTTTTCTACCTGGATTATTGAGCATGCATCAGGATATGACATTAGTTATCCTAAAGTATGTCAAATGGTGCAGTTTGAAAGATGTGGCGCAAGTACAATTCCAGATATATTGATATGAAATTCCAAAATGTGGGTCCACACCCAGTGTAAACAAATCACTCCTCTGTAAATCATATGGATGTCTGAGTCGCATGATTCACTTACATTAGGCCAGCTGCAATCTGAAAGTCACGTCAGCTGTTTTTGAAGGCAAACAAACAGTATTTGGCATTTAAAGTCACTTTAACCATTAGTATATTTATTTGTTTTTTTAAATATTGGTTGTCCAGTCTGAGTACATTTGAACTAAATTGACTTGATGAGCTGTGAGGGTACCAACAAGTTTGTCTGTACAATATAAAATTTCTTACACCAGATTCCATGATCCAACTAAAGCACTCACTTTTTGTCAACGTGTACATTTTAAAATGTCCTTTGTGTGAAGGGCCGTGTAAACTTATGTAGTTTTCAGACTATTTGTGTACCATTTGTGTTTTTGGCACATCTGTTGTGTTTTTCTAACAGATTGGTGTCCGAATGAGGAGGCACAAACAAACTGCGGCCTTTCTATTTGGCTTCAGGGGTCCAATAAGATTTAAAGAATAAACAAAGGATTGTGATTTTTATATATTGGGCTTGCTTTATTTTATTCTCCTCCCTTGGGGGAGTGATGTATTGGCTGATTTTGCTGAATTGGTGTTAAGCAGTCATTTTCAACATGGCCTTGTGTGTTTGAAGAGTCAGCAGAAGCTCCCCTCATTAATCTTTAGACCCGTCACGGTCCATTGGGTTCAGCTCTGGGAGGATGCAGGTTTTCCTTTTGCCTCGTTGATTCCAGACCAACCCCTTCGCTGCAATTGATTCTTGTTCTTGAGGTGAAGTTGGAGAGGCAGCTCGAGTCGAGGTCTGAATCTGTTCACACTTGTTAGGAAAAGAGATACAGCGTTAATGACTGAGCGCTGTCTTAAAGAACTGTTAAGTTGAGCTGCGTTAAACTTGAAAATTCCCATGTGATTAGAAATTTAATCAGTAAATCTGTGATCATTTAATCATGCTTTCATTTACTAAAGAGAATCAACAAAGCTTCTGCAATTTGGAGACTTTACCACAAGGGGGCAGCATTTGACTGTTCATCACCCACAGCCAAAAGTGAACGAGTGATCATGTATTTATTCATGTGCATGTCTGTAACCAAAATCTATCATGGACAAATGTAAAGACATTTTCATAAAGTAATGTACATCCACAGTTAATTACCTTTCAGTCAGCAAGCTTCACGATGGCATGACACGGAGCGGCACGGTGGCACAGTTGGTAGAGCTGTTGCCTCTCGGGGTGAATGTTGCAGGATCAAATCCCAGCTCGGGACCTTTTCTGAATGGAGTGTGCACGTTCTCTCCGTGCATGTGATTTTTCTTTAAGTACAGACCAAAAACATGCATGTTAGGCTGATTTGTAACTCCCAAGTTGTCCCGGGGTGTCTCTGTGTCCCTATGATGGATTGCCTCTCGCACAGTGAATGCTGGACATGGGCGCCTGTGACCCTGTGACCCGGATAAGAAGAAGCAGGTAAATATAATAGATGGATGATTCACAATGGCTGCCACAACCAACTAAACTTAAAAACCAAATGTCTTTAACTCAGGAATGAAGAAAGGAATAGTAGACATTTATACATAAGTTAAAAGTTTGCTTGCAAAACTCTAAATTTATTGAAAGTCACTTAAAATCGTCCGTGTTGCTGTCTGAATAGGAATTCTGCTGATAAAAGAAAAAGACTTAAATGGATTCATTTTCATTTTTTTTCCCACAGAACGGTTTACTCAGCTCACACAGCTCATTTAAATGGAAATAAGCAGCGCAGAAGAACAACTGCCTTAAGACGGATCGTACGCTGAATACATTTCAACCAGTCATGTAGTTGTTTTATAAGACATTAACCAAGTGATAAAACATCTTGTGTAAGGAAAAGTTTTAAACCAGGAAATGTTTTGCTCCTAACGCCTCCAACCTGCTGCATCTGCAGATTGTTGGCCTTTATAGATGTCATGGTTTTATAGTCTCCTAATACACTATTTTTCAATGCATTCATGCATGTTGTTTGGTGCAAATTTCATTAATGTTGCATGTTTATTTAATCAGTGTTGGCCTCCATCATCCTCAGATCTCATTTCATATCACACTGTATACGTTTAGACGTCACTGACATCTTTTCAATAATGTAGCTGTCAGGCGTTTTCTCTTGTTGGCTAAACTTATGCGCCTCACAGCACTTTTTTTTTCCTTCCTCCTAACCCTCGTCCATCCATATTCCACTCGGCTGCAAGCTCGTTTATGTCTCCAGCCTTCTCCTTTGAGCAGCGCTTTCTTATAAATGCGGACACGCAGTGGAAGCACGTCTGCGTCGAAAGCATGCGTGACTGAACTGGGTGAGTGAGATGCTCCGTGCAGAGGAAGATTTTTTTAATTTTAATTTTTTTTTTAATGTGAAAAGAATAGACCAAAAAAAAAAAAAAAATGTGAATGCTGAAAAACATTTAACAGAGCCGCCAAGTTTGTGTTGCATTTTGACACGGCGTATAAAAAGATTTGAAACTTTGAATGATTGAAAATGGAAGAGAAAAGAACACAGCTGTTTTTGACAAGATA